TTGCAAGCAGTAACTTTCCCAAGACTTCGTTTTCTCTTCTAAAAAATATGCACATCCCTGTCTCAACAGGCTTTTGTACTAGCAACAATGCAGGTAGAATCCTTTGGGCACTCACAGGCCTGGATTCCCTCCTTCCCTTGTACACCGGCCCTGAAGTCAAACTATCTGGGCTCATATCTTATCTGGATCACTTAGTTGCATTATCTGGGGCAATTTACTTCATTTCTTTTGTGTCTCAGTTTTAGCATCTGAAAAAAAGGATTTCTTGTGAGGTTTCAATGATTTAATTCTTTGGATTTCTCCCAACAGTGCCCAGCATGTAGTATGTGCTTAGTAAGCATTAACCATATTTATCACATTTCCTTCCTCCTTTCTGACAATCAGAAGGCTGTGATTGTACTACCCTAAGTCTTCTCTTGCCTTGGATAAAGGACCTCTCCACCAGTGGATGCACATAGGCCATCTTCAGCCAGGTGTTGGAGCAGCCTCCAGGTTGTCTATGGCTTCATCACAATGTGGGTTCCAGACAAGATAGAACAGAATGAGCTTGTAGACCCAAGGCACCCCAACTTCTTGTCAACTTGTATTACTGGAGGCTCCTGCTCATGGTGACTCTTGAGGTGATAACAGCCATGGGTGATGTAATAACTAAAGATTTGTTAAGTGCCGTTGAGTCGATTCTGACCCATAGTGACCTTGTATAGGGTTTCCAAGGAGCAGCTGGTGAGCTTGAACCACCGACCTTGCAGTTCAAACGACTTTGCAATCTGACGCATTAGTCCACAGCACCACACCAGGACTCCAATAACTAAAGATAGATTTATGATAATAGACATGTTGGTGGTTTTGATGGTGATGGTAGTGAGGATGGAGACTGTGAGAGTAAAGATGTTGGTGATGATGCAATAGTGACACTGATGGTGACAACGGAATAGGTGGCATTGATGGTAATGGTAGCAATGATACTGAGAATGATATTAGTAATAGAGACACTGTTGGTGACAATGGTGGTGATAGGGATGGGATTGGTGAGTTGGTGGAGCTGGTTTTGTGATAGAGATGAGATTGGTGACACTGATGTTAATGGAGACAATAGGAGGGATAATGGTGATGTTAGAGATAGTGCTATTGATGATGTTGATCATTGTGATGCTGGAGATTCTGAAGTTTCAGGTGGTAATGGTAATGATGGTTTTGGTGATAATGGTGGTGGGAAACATGACAGAGATGATGATAATGGTAATGACATTATTGGCCACTGTTAATATTCAAACTATATTGATAATGATGGTAGCTATGTTAATGGGGAAGATATTTAAGGTGATTAAGATGTTGTTGCTGTTAAGTGATAAGGAGTCAGTTCCAACTCATAGTGACCCTGTGTCCAACAGAGCAAAACAATCCCTGGTCCTGCGCCATCTTCACAGTTCCTGTTATGTTGGAGCCAATTGTTGCTGCCTCTGTGTCAGTCCATCTTGTTGGGGGTCTTCCTCTGTTTCACTGACTTACCCTTTTACCTTTCTCCTGGGACTGGTCCTTTCTGACAACATATCCAAAGAATGAGAGAAAAAAATCTTGTTATCCTCACTTTGAAGGATCATTCTGGCTGTACTTTTTCCATCACAGAATTGTTTGTTCTTCTGGTAGTCCATGGTATTTTCAATATTCTTATCAACATCGTAATTCAAATGTATTGATTCTTCTTCCCTATTCATTGTCCAATTTTCATATGCATGTGTAGCTATTGAAAATGCGATGGCTTGGGTCAAGTGCACCTTAGTTCTCAAAGTGACATCTTTGCTCTTGAACACTTTAAAGAAGTCTTTTGCAGCAGATTTAACTAATGCAATGTGTCATTTGATTTCTTGGCTCCTACTTCCATGAATATTAATTGTGAATCCAAGCAAAATGAAGTCTTTGACAGTGTCTGTCCTTTCTACATTTATCATGATATCATTTATTGGTCTAGTTGTGAGGATTTTTATTTTCTTTACATTGAGGTGCAATTCAAACTGAAGGCTGTAGTCTTTGATCTTCATCAGTAACTGCTTCAAGTCCTCTTCACTTCCTGTAAGCAAGGTTGTATATCCCCAGTTTTAATGAGTCTTCCTCCAATCCTGATGTCACATTTTCATCATATAATCCATCTTCTCAGGTTATTTGCTCAACATACAGATTGAATAACTACACTGAAAGGCCAGAATCTTGATGCACACCTCTCCTGATTTTAAACCATTCAGTATTCCTTTGTTCTGTTCTAATGGCTGCCTCTTGGTCTGTAGACAGGTTCTTCATGAGCACAATTAAGTGTTCTAGAATACCTATTCTTCAAAATGTTGTTCATAGTTTGTTATAATCTGCAGTCAAATGCCTTTGCACAGTCAACATCTTTGCCAAAACACAAGTAAACATCTTTCTGGTATTCTCTGCTTCCAGCCAAGATCCACCAATACCAGCAATGATATCCCTCTTTCTATGTCCTCTTCTGAATATGACTTGAGTTTTTGGCAGCTGTCAATGTACTGCACAATAGTTTTAAATTATCTTCACCAAAATTTTACTTTTTTGATATTAATGATATTGTTCAATGAGTTCCACATTTTGTTGGATCATCATCTTTCTTTAGAATGGGCACAAATACGCATCTCTTCCAGTCTGTTGGCCAAGGAACTGTCATCAAAATTCCTCGGCATAGACAATTGAGCACCTGCAGCATTACATCAATTCACTGAAACACTTCAATCTAAATTTCATCAACTCCTGGAGCCTTGTTTTTTGCCAATGCCTTCAGTGTAGCTTAGACTTCTTCCTTCAATACCATTGGTTCTTGATCATATGCTGCCTCTTGACATGGTTGAACATCAACCAATTCTTTTTGGTACAGTGACTCTGTATATTCCTTCCATCTTCTTTGGATGCTTACTACATCATTCAATATTTTGTCTGCTGTTGTTGTTGTTAAGTGCCGTCGAGTTGGTTCCAACCCATAGCCACCCTGTACAGGGTTTCTGAGGCTGTTAATCTTTACGGGAGCAGAAAGCCTCATCTTTCTCCCATGGAACCACTGATAGTATCGAACTGCTGACCTTGAGGTTAGCAGCCTGACTTGTAACCACTACATTACCAGAAACATTCAAACTGCAAACAGAGGCTTGAATATTTCCTTCAGTTCTTTCAACTTGAGATGTGCTGAATGTGTTCTTCCGTTTAAATTTTCTAACTCCAGCTCTTGAATTTCATCATAATATTTTGTCTTTTTTAACTGTCCTTTGAAATTTTCTGTTCAGCTCTTCTACTTCAATCTAGATCATACCTTCAAGTGACTCTAACTTCTCTATGATCAAGACCAAGTTTTAGAGTTTCTTCTGACATCCATTTTGGTCTTTTCTTTCTTTTTCATGACCTTTTGCTTTTTTTTGTTGCATGACAATCATTATAAGAAAGGTGGAAGCATGTTTTGTTCCTCATAGAAGCTCAAATCTTCAGACAACTACTCTGGCCTTTGGTCATTAGTGTCTAATCCATCAAGTCTGTTCTTGAGATGGTCTTTAAATTTAGGTTAGATAAACTCAAGGTCATATTTTGGCTCTTGTTGCCCTGTATTAATTTTCTTTAGCTTCAACCTGAACATGCATATGAGCAATTGATGATCTGTTTGACAGCCTACCGCTGGCTTTGTTTTGGCTGATGATATTGAGCTTCTCCATCGTCTCATCCTACAGATATGGTCGATATGATTCCTATGTATCCAGTCTAGTGAGGTCCACATGTATAGTCACTGCTTATGCTGTTGAAAAATAAAACAAAAATGGTATTTTCAATGAATAAGTCATTGATTTTGTAAAATGCTATCACGTGATCTCCAGCATCATTTCTATCACCAAAGCCATATTTTCCAACAACTGATCCTTCTTCTTTGCTTCTAACTTTTATATTCTAATTACCAGTAATTATCAATGCATCTTGATTGCATGTTTGATTGATTTCAGACCGAAGAAGTTGGTAAAATTCCTTAATTTCCTCATCATTGACTTTAGTGGTTGGTGCATAAATTTGAATGATAGTGATACTAATTGGTCTTCCTTATAGACATATGCATATTATTCTAACTCAAACAGCATAATACTTCAAGGTAGATCTTGAAATGCTCTTTTTGATGATAAATGGGATGCCCTTCCTCTTCAGTTTGTCATTCCTGGCATAGTAAAGCATGTGACTATCAGATTCAAAATGGCCAACATAGTTTATTTCCACTCACTAATGCCTAGGAGATCAATTTTTATGCATTCCATTTAATTTTTGATGGCTTCCAACTTTCCTAGATTCATACTTTGTACATTCCATGTTCTGATTATTAATGGATGTTTACAGCTATTGTGCCCCATCAGCAAATGAAGTCCCGAAAGCTTGTCTCTATCTACATCATTAAGGTCAACTGTATTTGAGGAGGCAGTTCTTCCCCCAGTTTTGTTTTGAGGGGCTCATCTTCTGGCACAATTGCTCACACTGTTCTGTAGCTACTCATAAGGTTTTCAGTGACTAACCATTCAGAAGTGGTCCTTCATTCTACTCTGTTTTAGTCTGAAACCTGTCTACCATTGATGCCCTACTAGCATTTAAAATACCAGGAGCATAGCTTCCAGCAGCACACATACCACCACATTTTGACATCTGTCTGGTGGGTGATTAAGATATTTAATAATAATAATGACGTTAGTGGTTATGATAGTAATTTTCATGATGGTGGTGAGAATTGACTGTGTAGACATTTGATGGTAAGGACAAAATGTAATCACTGGAGTTTCATTCATTCATTCAAAAAACACTTGTCAAGTGCTTACAGTGGCAAGAACAAATGGAACACTGCTGGTCCCCTTTGCTCTTGATAGGAAAAAGATTACCATTCTCTCCCTTCCCAGAGCCCTCTGCCCCAGCCCCAGCCATCTCTAAGCAGGATCTCTGGCACCAAGCTGATTGCCCTTGGTTATGTGTCTCTTCAGGGTGAGGGTTCCTCCTCTGAGAAGAGTCCTGAAGAATACCCAGAGAAGAAGAATGGCCTACCCCAGTTTGCAACAGACCTGACTGTGGTCCAATTCATCAAAGGTAAGTGAGCTCCAGGCCATGGGGGAGCTGGACAAGAGAAGCATTTGAGACCTAACAGAATTCAGCCCTTTCATGCCTTTCTTGATTCATCCTCCACATCTCTAGGACCCTTATTAGAATATGTACATCCCTTATGAGTCTTTGCTCATGCAATTCCTTCTGCCTGGAACATAATTTTTACTGCTACCCATCTACTCTGCCCCTCGAGTCATACTTAAGTACCACTCCTTCCTCCAATGTTCCTGGTTCTCTAGCCAACAAGGATGCTTCCCTCCCTCCTTTGGGTCCTCAGAATCTTCAGAACCCTCAGGGCTCTGTTTCAGCTCTGTGCCCTCCCTGGGCTAGTTCATCTAGTTCATTCCTCTCTCCACTGAGTCTGCAAACAAGAGGCCCTCAGATAATATTTGCTGAGTTCCCAGGCTATGGCATGGGTAAAAAGAGCTCTGGGTTTTGTTTTTCCCCCTGAATGATTGCTTCTGTTTTCCCATCTGTAAAGTGAGGAGCAGACTCAGCCATCTCAGGTCCAATTATCTCTGATACTGAAACTGTGAACGGAATCAATCAGTAACCAGGGTATATGCTATGATCGAGCCATCTTTTCTAAAGATCCCAATCCCATAAGAATTGATTGAGTTCCTGCTGTGTGCAGACTACTGTAGAACAATGGACAAGTCAGAAGACCTAGATTTGAATCCTGCCCCTGACGCTGACACTGAAAATCTTACCTAAGTTATTTTCCTTCCCTAATCTGAGTTTCCTCATCTGAAGGATAATAGTAATGATAACAATGGCCATTTGAGATTCAAATTGTACTAATGGTATTAAATAGTGGCTGTTGTTGTTGTTTAGTGTCTTCCAGTTGGTTCCAACTCAAAGCAACCCTGTAAGGGTTTCTAAGGAGCGGCTGGTGAGTTCGAACTGCCGACCTTGTGGTCCAGTACATTATCCTACAGTGCCACACCAAGAAGGTCACTAATACTTTTTTTTTTGTTAAGTTTTTATCGTGAATTATGTGGGTTTAGTGGGAGAACATCAGTTTTACATTCATCCTACTGTATTTCATTTCATTGTAATGATTAGAATCACCTCCATGCATCATCAAATACCCAAAGGGTACACCCCACAGGCCTGCCCCCCTGGCCAACAGCACACAGCTCCTCTCCCTCCCTGAGTCCAGTGTCCCCAGATGCTCCATCTGTTCACATCACCATCTCTGTCTCCATTCCTGGCATCACTGCCTCTCTGGGTAGGGTCCTACTCTCTGCTCTTCTCACTTGATGATCCCAGGGACCTCTGCTCCTGGGCCGCAAAATCAATCACTCCCCTCCTCTTGTCAAAAAACATCTACTTCTATACTTCCTACCCTCACAGTCAGTCCTGATGGCAATTATTCACTATTATACCACAAGAGTCTTATCCCCATTTCCTTTTGCCAGCCCAGTCCCAACAGATTGGGAATCGTTCAGTGGAGATTCTACCAACCCCTGCCCCACCTGGAACTAAGTTCCCTCTTGAAAGCTTGTAAGCCAGTCACTTCTTGCCTTTGTAGGCACCCCCTCCCCTCCCACTTTGGGTATCCAATGTCTAAGTTGCCCATCCCTGTCAACCCTGTGTACTGAGGGGGTGGGAGTGAGCCTTGCTGTAAAGATTTGTTCCCTTTTTTGAGCTACTGCATCCATAAGTATCAGTAAAGTTCATCAAATTATAGCAGGTTACTCTTCTTTTCTTCCCCCCTCTTCTTTATTCTTCTAGTCGAGTTCTGATCATCCAGCCACTGAAGCCAAGTCAAGTGGGTACTATGTGCAAATATGGGTGTTCTTGTGCATCTCCCCTCACTTCATATCAGCTGGATGCTTCACTCTCTGCTCTAGTCCTCTGTGGCCATGTCACTGTCTCTGGGTCCAGGAGTCCCCGGCCTTGCCATACTGCTGGCCATCCAGGTCTCCGCCCAGGTTCACAGGGGTCTATTGAATGTGGTCGGACTTAGTTGTCAACTTCATTGCTGTTTTTCCCTCCTTTTCCCCTTATCAGTGACCAATGTGGTCACCAGCCAGACCACATGCCTGCTCATGTATTCCCCTTGAGGCTTAATCTTGGAAGGGGGTTTACTCTGAGGGGACCCGCCCACTTGCAAACAGCTTACTTCTTCTTGTAGTAATCAATCAGACTGTGTTATTATTTCTGATATTTCCTGCTGGTCAAGAAAGGTCACTTTCTCTAAAGGATTGTTATAAGAATCAAATGGGAAGATGAATGGAAAGTCCTTTGTACACTATAAAAAACTGTACTTGTATGTTGTTATTAAGTGCCATCAAGTCAGATCTGACTCATAGTGACCTTGTATAGAGTTTCCGAGAAGCAGCTGGTGAGTGTGAACCTTGTGGTTAAAACTAACCTTGTGGTCAAGTGCTTATCCTACAGCACCACACCAGGACTCCCTGTACTTGTACAAGATAAAATTAGTACTTCAATTATCACTCCTGCCCCTACTGTTATTCTATGTCCCAAGACAGTAAATTGAGCTACCTGTGGTTTAGGAGAGTGGTACCAGGGTTTGCTCACCCCCTCACTGAGGACATTGTAAGACTTGGTATTGGGATACCAGTAATTTGACTCAAGTTCTCCAAGTTTCCAGGGAAAGAAGAGTCTGAAATTCCTGGTGCTAGGCCTAGAGGCTCATCTGAAACCTGTCCACCATGGATGACCCTTCTGGTATTTAAAATACCGGTGGCATAGCTTTCAGAATCGCAGCAACTCACAAGCCACCACAGTACAACAAACTGACAGACGAGCAGTGACTGAAGAACGGATTTGATACATTAAACACTAAAGACCAAAGACCAGAAGAGTTGTGGGATGACATCAGGAACATCATACAAGAAGAAAGCAAAAGGTCATTAAGAGGACAAGAAAGAAGGAAACGGTCAAAATGGATGTCAGAAGAGACACTGAAACTTGCTCTCCAGCATAGAGGTGCTAAAGCAAATGGAAGAAATGATGAGGTACAAGAGCTGAACAGAAAATTTCAAAGATCAGCTCGAGAAGATAAAGCCAAATATTACAACAAAATATGCAAACATCTGGAGTCAGAAAATCAAAAAGGAAAATTCTCTCAGCATTTCTCAAGCTGGGGGAACTGAAGAAAAAATTAAAGCCTTGACATTTGTTATTGGAAGCATCTCTGGGCAAATTATTGAATGATGCAGAAAGCATCAAAAGAAGATGGAAGGAATACACAGAGTCACTGTTCCAAAAGGAAATGGGTAATGTTCAACTGTTTCAAGAGGTAGCATATGATCAACAGCCAATGATGCTGAAGGAGGAAGTCCAAGGTGCATTGAAGAAATTGG